TTGATCAGAAATTGGTGCTATCGACCGGATGTGGGCGTTCACCACGTTGTTCGACGCAGAAGGACGAAAGAACAGCCAGAGGCCATCGGAAATCGCTCGAATCGTGACCCTTATCGCCTTATTAGGGAAGGCACCCTTCGAGGACTGCGTCCCCGGACGCGGTCCCGTCTTTATCAGCCGCTTGTATCGGCGTTCCCTTTCATGGTCTTTAAACCGGCGCACTTAGTATGGCCCGTCATTACTTAACGGTGAGTAATAAAGTTGTACCACCAATTAGTCGACGCCGTGGAAGCACGCGCATCAACGCGAAGCAGGTAGCCGGCCTTGCGTATCGCGGCCACGTTTTATCTCCACGATATCTCGTTTCGGTCGTCCAGGATAAAATCGGTAATCCGAGAATAATCGTTATTATTTTACGTTGAGGCTCGGCACACAGATCGGCAGCTGCCGAGCAATTTGCCAGTCTATGATCGTGTTCGATTGTTGCATCCACGGGAAACGACTGGTTTCCTGGTTGCGAAAACCATTTCTGCTAACTACGGAATTATGTGGGAGGTGTTGTGTATCGATCGCCGGATTCAAACCAATTACGACAAAATTGAAAATTTTCAGACTGAACGGATTTGCTGCCAAGGTCCGTTACTGTTAAGTGTAAAAAATTGGACCTGGTAGTGAGTCTGAATAATTCTATTTAAACAAACTGTCTTCTGGATTTGTCTGAACAAACTGTATGAACTTTGAGGAACCTAAAGTAGTTTCCGAACTTCACCTGTTTTTATCATCGAGTACAGTACATACAGAATTAACGAAATTATACGACAAATATAATGTTTATTTATTATTAGGTCTGTCAGAATGTTGTGTCCAACAATGTCACTGCTCGTGGTTCTCATGTTCTGTTAGATCTAATATTAACATCGAATGATGTTACTACCAATGTACCTAGCTCAAGCCCTTATAGCTTGCACATAACCAAAATGAAAGATCTAACTTACTAACCTTTCTATCCGTAATAGAAATTAACCTTAACCTTTCTATCCAAAACCTTGTCCATCCATAATTGTCCAAACGTAACATTGTCTGTTCGCAACTGTCCATATCTCTCCATATGTCTCCTAAATACCGTTCGAGGCCCAAAAGAGCCCTCGTCCTAAACTCGCGAGAAGAACCGGAAGTCGACAGAGAACCGCGTTAGAGTTGTCACGAATCGCGGTTTGGTGATTTTCTTTAAACCGGCGCACTTAGTATGGCCCGTCATTACTTAACGGTGAGTAATAAAGTTGTACCACCAATTAGTCGACGCCGTGGAAGCACGCGCATCAACGCGAAGCAGGTAGCCGGCCTTGCGTATCGCGGCCACGTTTTATCTCCACGATATCTCGTTTCGGTCGTCCAGGATAAAATCGGTAATCCGAGAATAATCGTTATTATTTTACGTTGAGGCTCGGCACACAGATCGGCAGCTGCCGAGCAATTTGCCAGTCTATGATCGTGTTCGATTGTTGCATCCACGGGAAACGACTGGTTTCCTGGTTGCGAAAACCATTTCTGCTAACTACGGAATTATGTGGGAGGTGTTGTGTATCGATCGCCGGATTCAAACCAATTACGACAAAATTGAAAATTTTCAGACTGAACGGATTTGCTGCCAAGGTCCGTTACTGTTAAGTGTAAAAAATTGGACCTGGTAGTGAGTCTGAATAATTCTATTTAAACAAACTGTCTTCTGGATTTGTCTGAACAAACTGTATGAACTTTGAGGAACCTAAAGTAGTTTCCGAACTTCACCTGTTTTTATCATCGAGTACAGTACATACAGAATTAACGAAATTATACGACAAATATAATGTTTATTTATTATTAGGTCTGTCAGAATGTTGTGTCCAACAATGTCACTGCTCGTGGTTCTCATGTTCTGTTAGATCTAATATTAACATCGAATGATGTTACTACCAATGTACCTAGCTCAAGCCCTTATAGCTTGCACATAACCAAAATGAAAGATCTAACTTACTAACCTTTCTATCCGTAATAGAAATTAACCTTAACCTTTCTATCCAAAACCTTGTCCATCCATAATTGTCCAAACGTAACATTGTCTGTTCGCAACTGTCCATATCTCTCCATATGTCTCCTAAATACCGTTCGAGGCCCAAAAGAGCCCTCGTCCTAAACTCGCGAGAAGAACCGGAAGTCGACAGAGAACCGCGTTAGAGTTGTCACGAATCGCGGTTTGGTGATTTTTATTCAGAACGAGAAGGGCGGAATAAAACTGAGCGGAAAAGACAAACAACCGGTCGCGGCGTGCGAGTGGGCTCCAGGAACGTAATTAATGAGCAGTTTGGCGGTCGGCCGGACAGCTGTCCCGTCTTTTTTCTGCGACGAACGGAATCGTTGGCCGTCGCGGCAACGAAAGCCGGAGAAAACGCGGAAACCTCCTCTGGACTCGAAGCAGAGACGCGCCTTTTGGACGCTGCGGAAGGAACAAGATGGATTGCCTGACACTACCGGACAAGATCAATTGAATTTCTATTTGGACGTAACCGAGAACCGTTTGCTGCTAACCTCGGTCCACCATCCTTCCCACCCTTCTTTCCGCTCGAAACTCTAATTCTTCTTCCGCCGGTCGTCGATGTCACGATAATTGTAGTCGGTGATCTAACGTTCATCTCTGATTCATCGGGTTTCGATAATCACTGCTTTCTTCGGCGGGGAATTTGCTAAGAGATCGATCTTATCATCTCAAGGTAAAGTAAATAATCAAAAATGTAATTATATTTGAACAAGAATATTGCAACTCGATATGACTCAGAATTATGTACAACACTGTTTCAACGTAAAATCTGAAATTCTTTCTAAATGTGACAAACTTGCAATCTACCTTTGACTATTAATAATTGAACCATCACTGATGAAATGTCCATCAATTGAAATATTATAGCATAGTTGACATATGTATCACAAAATAAAAAGTAAGAGTATTAAACTATAAAATATTCACCCTAAATACTTGCTCGAAAGAAAGAAGTAGAATGAACAGTGCTTCAAAACCTCCACCAGAGGCAACTAAAGTGCCCCAAACGCCCGAAGAACATAGTGTACGTCCCTGAACTGAATGTGTAACGTTTTCATTAGATTTTGTGAAGCAGCACAAACAATTATCGTAATCGCTTAAAACTTTCGAATAACATATTGTTTCTGTTCTGGGACGACCCTCGCGTTTATCTCGCGGTTGCAACTTTCACAATCTTCGTTTTCAAGGAATAAACCAGTGGTTCGAGCATATCGCGCATATACCGATACTCCAATCGGTTATTGACCGCGAAAATGCTTACGCTCGTAAGCAACTGATACTCGCTGTTCAACGTTGATAGAGGAGGCGGTGGAAAGAAACGACGCACCGCGGAAAAACAGTGAGTGACGTAAAACTGGGTAACCATGCTACGTTTTATCAAGGTCGTTGTTTTCATGGTTTAACTTCAGTTAATATTAAAAGAAATCTTGTTCCAGATCGTTCTTTATTGATATCGTGTCTATATTCGTCTTTATTATTCCTTGAAAAACAAGTCGGTCGTCGAGAAATGTTCTTTTATATGACGTACGTGGTGCGTCCTGCTTGTGCATTTCAAATCAAATTTTAGTTTATATTGATTCCTTAATAAGTACTATTTATTTAAATACTAAATCTAACTTCACTTGAATTAATAATATTTTGATATTATAAATTGAAGTTTGTAATTTAAAACTGAAGTACGTCAAGTTTGTAGGTTATGTACATAATGTATAATACGTTGATGATATTATTGTGGTACATTATAGTGTATCATATAATTGATCATATTCTTATGATGACCCACAATGTATCACACATTGATGATATTGTTATAATGGATCATAATGTATCATACATTGATCATATTATTATGATGACCCACAATGTATCACACATTGATCATATTATTATGATGACCCACAATGTATCACACATTGATCATATTATTATGATGACCCACAATGTATCACACATTGATCATATTATTATGATGACCCACAATGTATCACACATTGATCATATTATTATGATGACCCACAATGTATCACACATTGATCATATTATTATGATGACCCACAATGTATCACACATTGATCATATTATTATGATGACCCACAATGTATCACACATTGATCATATTATTATGATGACCCACAATGTATCACACATTGATCATATTATTATGATGACCCACAATGTATCACACATTGATCATATTATTATGATGACCCACAATGTATCACACATTGATCATATTATTATGATGACCCACAATGTATCACACATTGATCATATTATTATGATGACCCACAATGTATCACACATTGATCATATTATTATGATGACCCACAATGTATCACACATTGATCATATTATTATGATGACCCACAATGTATCACACATTGATCATATTATTATGATGACCCACAATGTATCACACATTGATCATATTATTATGATGACCCACAATGTATCACACATTGATCATATTATTATGATGACCCACAATGTATCACACATTGATCATATTATTATGATGACCCACAATGTATCACACATTGATCATATTATTATGATGAACCACAATGCACCATACATTTACCAAATTATTGCACTGCACCGCAATGTATTACACATTGAGCACATACGTTTATCCTACACAAGTGTTACACATATATGCCACGAACATTTATCGTATACATAGTACACATCGACCAATAAAATTCGCTTAAACGCAGCACTTTCGTGAGTGCGTCTACTTTACCATTAAATGCGAAGCGTACTCTTTTATCAGTAAATTGGTAGTTAAAGTCAAGCCATTTTAACATTGTAATGATATGCAACGTTGCGACATAAAGGCCGTGACATGACTCGGTCCCTATACTCAAACTATTAAGCAATTTTTCCGAAAGTTATAATCGCACAATGGTTTTTGTGTTAGTAGCCGAGAAAAGGTTAATTCGAACGAGAGCCACGTAAAGTTGCTGATGGGTCTCGTAAGCAGAACGCAGCTCAATGTATCATTAGGTAGTCATTGCGATCACCGTGGGTCCCGTAGGTACACGCACCGCCGACGGACACGTAGGTAAGCCATCCTGGCTTCATTCACGTCAGATGCGAGCCAACCACGTCATTTATCTGCCAACCATCCCGGCTAACGATGCATTGCCGGCTTGTTGGTCGAGCTTCGTGGCATCCTCGTGTTCTCTGCACTTCCCCTGGAATTTCCTTCTCTTTTCTATACGCTTTCAATTCGAACCTTTTTCGATTTCGTCAAATACCATTAATCGATACAAAAATAGTACATTTCGAAAAATTCTACGTTCTACGTTCTACACTCTGTCTATATAAACGAATAATCTGTATTATTTTTAATTTGAATCAACCTTCCCTTTCAGGAAATACCATCCAACCATAATAGTACGATTCAAACAAATTATTTAAAATGAAAAATTGACGCATGGTATATGAATAAAATATTCAAAATATTCGAATGAAATGACCGAGTATATTATATATTTAATGACCAATCTTCGAATTTTGACCATCGTAAAGAAGTAGAAATTCCAAGGGCAGATTTTTTTGTTCCTGTCCATAGACTGTATCAACACGTTACCCCAACCTCATCTTTAATTAATGCGCATTAATCTCGTTCGCGAGAGAATTTACCGGCGCTAGAATCGGCCTGAGTGCGAATAAAATTAATGCGCATAATATGTATGAATGCAATTCATGTCGACGAAGCTGTTGTTCATAATAAAGAAAATTCGTGTAATAATTTTTATATCTTCCATTGATTTTGATAACAAAAGGAAATCGACCCGAAAATTCTCTCAAATATTCGTACGCAAAATAATTATTTAAACCTCTTGCGATAAATTAACTGCACTACGTTACTACATTCAGTCGAAAATGTTTAAATATTAAAATTATATAATTGTCAAGTTTATAAGTTTGTTAACACTCAATTTATTATAAATCCTCTTCAAGTTTATTTATATAATTATAGATTGCAAACCAGAAAAATGGTTACAGATTTAAAACGAGTGAAACATAATGGTAACAGATATAATTACAAGAAAAAGTTGCATCTTGACCTTAAAAAAATCAGCCGAAGAGGTTAAACTGCAATTGCGATGCTGTAACATTTTTTCCAGAGTCCTGGTTCGCAGCCGGCGTCTTCGTCGAAGAACGACTCGAAAGCGTAATACAATATCACGCGGTCGAAGTTAACGAGAGTTTCGCGTGTTCCGGAAACCAGCGGGTTCCTCTGTTGCCGCTGCCAGATACGACCACGTTTACATCCTTGCGCTCGGACCACTCCCAAATTTTGCACGCACCTTAAACACTTGGAGCAATTAGCGAACTGTGCCACGAGGCCGAAGCAAAAACAACCCCTGCCTTTTTGTCAATGTTTCGTCGAACGCCATGTTCGGCGCACCAGTCGTGCTGCCGCAGGCTTGTATAAATGACGAATAAATTATTTATCAATTTTGCCCGACTGTCGCTTAATTTTTATTACCGTGACGAAAGTATAATTTAACGAACGCTACGAGATTATTAATTTTAAATATGCTGTCAAATTTGCATTCTCCTGGTCGTCGCTCAATTTTTATTATCGTAATGCGAGTATAATGTCGCGTGGAAAATATTAATATTCCTTTGCAAAATTCATGTATTATCTATTGAATCGATGACGAATACGATTAACATTCCCTATATTAAATTATCAAGAATATAATAGTGGACTATAAACATAAGTATAATTTAAACAACGTCATATGGAAAATAATACTTAATATTTTTAAACACTCGCGGTGTCAAGACATTATCATAATGCAGGATCATAAAGAAAATAAATTATTTAACGTCCTCATCATCGATGCAGTGCTACTTAATTTTTACCGTAACATAAGTATAATTTATCGAATATCACGGGAAAATATTAATTTCGAATATTAAACAGGTATTGAAATATCATAATCGATCAACACTCGCGGTGTCAAGTCATCAGTAATATCGTAATGGAGGACCATAAAGTAAATAAATTAGCATCCTGGTCATCAATGCGTAAGCACCGCTTAATTTTTATTGTCGTAACTTAAGTATAGTTTAACGAACGCTATATGTAAAGAAAATAATTAAATATCAGATCGATATGTGATTGACATTCCCGGTATTAAGTCATCAGTAATGGAGGGCTATGATTATTTAGAAAAATATTAATTCCGAATATCGATATTCGATCCGCAGTCGCAAGTCGTCAGCAGTGTAATGTAGGAGCATAAAATAAGAAATTATTTACATGGTCGGTTCTTAAGCATAATTCAATGTACGTGGCATTGAAAGGGTTAACGTTGAATACCAAACGGTCGTCGAGAGAAAAACATCGGCATCGCGACGGACGATCGTGGCGTCGCTGGACCATCATCGCATCAATGCTCCTCGGATTGACAGTCCCGGACTTGATAAATGATACTCGGTACGGCCCCATAGCACCCCTCTCTCCTTTGGAGTTTCGCGTTCACCGTGGATCCACCCCTGCTGAGCTCGATCGAGAAAGAGGGTGCCTCGTTCTCGGACCGCTCGCAGTCTGAACAGACATCCGAAGAGAGACTATGAGCGGAGAGAGAAGATATCTCTGCGGTGAGAAGTAAACACGTTATACAAACGAATGCGGGATCGATAGCGTTGCTTGGGATCCTGTGAAGACTTTCTCACTACCTCCTCCAACTCCTTCGGCTTCTCTTTTCCCCTCTCGTCAAGCTTTTTCCGAGGGACTCGTGTTCTCTTTCCATTGCTTCACTCTGGAGGGTCCTCGATGTCCTTCATGATCGATAACCTCGGCTAAGTAATTCTCGGATTTGCGGAGGAATATGATTCGGTACGGACTGGATTTAATTGCAGATTCGAGGGTCGTTAGGAAGGGTTGATCATGATTATACTGATTTATATATTTCTGTGTTTTACGCGATGTCTGAGTGGAGATGCATTTTCGAAATTATCTAAAAGGAGAGAAATTAAAAGTTGTCTTAAAATTGGTCAATTAATTTCAAATAATTTTCACAATAAAAAAAGTGAAACAAAGGAAACTGTTTTTGCTGAGTTGCAAAACTGCGAATGTAATCATGAAATCAACATACATATAATACCAGATAATTAGAGGAACTCGTAGATCGCTGAATGCGCTTTCTGTATTTACAGAGAAAACAGAATAGAAACGCAGATATAAAATTTTCTAGTCGACGATGGTGTAACTAATACTCGTTAAATATTAATCAACCAGCCATCAGTCGATTTCCTGAAAAGAATGTTTCTCCTAGAACAAACTCGTTTCTGTGATTTCAATCGAAAGTTGAGGTTTCGTTCCGTCGAAACAGGTTTCATCCTTTGAAACTGTACATATACTTACTATATACTTCCTACTTGTAATAATTTTAATTTTTATTTTGTCGTATAATTAATCCAATTGTACAGTGGTACAATTTATAACTAGTGTATAACCCCATATAACGTAAGAAATTCTCTGTCCACTTTCTGTGAATTTTTTTCAAGAAGTTACGTGCTCCTCGTCACTGGTTTAGAAACTCTCTCAAAACTGACGTTTAACAAGCTTTCAGCAAATCCTCAATAAACCCGGACAGGTACAAGCACCGTTTACGACGTTGTCTTTCTTCTGGACTCCAAATCCCAACTCGTCGACAGATTAGGACCGAAAGGGTAAATATTGACACTTATTAGTCGCTGGTTAATTCTTCGAGCATTGGACACGCGCGTTGTTTAAACACCCGAGGGATTTGCATTGTACCGAAGAGGTGAATAGCTTTCTTGTCGAAAGGCAAGCGATCGGTATGTGACGAACCGACAACCCTCCCTGAGGAATTTCGAAATTTAAACGCGCCCAACCTTGCCTTTCCGGTCCATGAACGGTCGCTACGACAGGGGAGATATTCTGTGACAAAAAATTCTGTTTTTTACATTCATTGCTTAAATTGTAATAATTATTTTTAAGAATTATACGTGATAGGATGAGTCAAATAATATGATCGGTAACATATTCAATAATACATGTATTTAAGTATTAATAATATATTTAAGTATACAAGTACTTCGATACTCAAGTAACGAAAGTATTATAATATTCTAATAATTTGAGAATTTTAGTATTTTCAATAATGGAAGTAAAAATTGATGTTAAAGTGAAATAATAGAATTTTCATGAACGATTCCTGCGAAGACAAATGATCGTCCTACAATCGCATCTATTTTGCGTAGCCAGTTGCAAAGATGGGGTCGTTAATGTAAGAAAAGGTATCGCGGTTTTTGCTCTAGTTCTCGATCCTCTATCCAAAAGATTGGCTACCCTTCGAACGATTGCTCAGCGGTTTTTCCGCTCCGCCCCGAAACGCCTGTTCGTCTCGTGTTCGCTATAACGCTGCCATTAAATCCGTGGCTTTCTACTTATAGCCATCCATTTTGAATTTCCCTTCTTCTGTATTCTAATTCCATCGCACTTCGAACGAATGCTATTTTAAACATTAATTTATTACGACACGGCCAGAGAATTTCAACCCCTCGACCTTTCAATGGAAATTCAAGATTAAATTTCCCGCCAACTGTTTGTACGAGGAAACCCAACTTAAGGTCTAATGTTGAGTACTCGTCATATTTTCTGGCGATGTCAATCCTTTTATATATTTAATTACAGAAATGCAGCTCAAGCAAATATACAGATTTCGTAGCTGCATTCGGTTCAGATAGATCCAGAAAATTGATCGAGGCGCAACGCAAACAAAATATAAATCAATCGAACAATAATAGAGGCCGCTCGGTTTGATCCCGATATTTCCAATTTTCCCAAATGGTCGCAAACGCCACCCTACAGCCGGTGAACATTCTCTCCCTTTGGGGTACACGGGGCGGACGAGGGCACATATGTTACCCCCCGAGATACCGCGCCATTTCACGCAACGCAAAGCCCCAATTTAATTTGTTCTGCGAGCAAGAATCCGAAATGTATCTGATTCTGCGGATCTCGTATCACCGTTACGTTGTTAAACGTTAGATTGTTATATTACAACGTTGACCACTCGTTCACGCGTAAGGTTACCACTCATTAGACTAGTACAAAATAGATTACTACTTGTTGAGTTATTACAGGTTACACTATCACGCGATAGATTACTACGCCTTAGACTAATGCACGATAGATTACTACGCCTTAGACTACTACACGATAGATTACTACGTGTTAAATTATCATGTGCTATATTTCCACGCGTGAGATAATTATGCATTGCATTATTACACTTATTACACAGTTAGATCGCTACATGCTGTATTACTACGCGTTGGATTACCACCCGTTAGATTATCATCCGCTAGATTATTACACGTTAGACTACCACTTGTTAGATTACTACGCGCTGGACTACCACTCGTTACGATTCTATGTTCTGAATCACCACCTGTTAAATTGCTACAAGTTAGATTACTTCTTATATTACTACGCGCCAAATCTCCATGTGTTAAATCACCGTGAGGTAGTCCTATGTTAAATTACTACACGTAGGATAATGCGTTGCATCGCGAGTTGTATCATGAAATTATCCCTCATTGTATCGCCACGTAAGCTTGCAGATCAAACTTTCAGCTCTACATTCCTCCACTCTCCAAAAACGTAGAAATCCCTTAAATGTCACGGTCGATCAGCTCATCCCCACCCTCAGAGCCTGCCCGACAGAATATTCAAACTACAAAACCATCATCCCAAATCAACTTAAACGACACTAGAGCACTATATTACTGTACAATCGTATTTACTACATCCCTTAAAGGTAGCTGTCTACCCTAAGAAGAACCTCGAAACCATCCATGAAGAATCAACGTGTCCAAACTTCGGCAAATTATCGAGGTAGTCCATCGACAACAGGAGCGCGTAACAGATTTTCGGCAGAAAAAACGGTAGGTAAACGGGGGTGAAAGTTTTATTGCACGTGGCCAGGGAATTTTTGCCTTCTACCTGCGGAAAACGTGCAAAACAGCTGGCAGTAATTCTGTTTATGGTGTTGCCGAGGTTCTGAGTGACCGTACGACAACGTTTCAAAAATGAAGACACCATGGCTAGCCGTGGTGTACAGTTATGGGGTGGGGATAACGCGTGGGGAGGCGCGTGTCTTCGAAGCTGTTCGGTTGTTAAGGGACGCTGCTATTTATGAAGCGGACTCATAAAGTATAAAGACGGCGCATTTTGGCTGCAATACGTCATCCCAGATGTCGTTCAGGTAGTTTGCTTAATACTACGTGTCTGGTCTGGTCCCGCTGTAAATAAGAACCTGCCCTTTTTTCTCCCTCTTCGTCTTCCGTCCTCTTCTATATCCTTTGTTGATTCTCCAGGAAGGAAATTCTCGTGAATTTCACCGTGTAATTAAGATTTTTTATTATGCTTACGGTGAATTCCTTCGAAGGTCCCATATGTCGAACTCGAGAATTAATTATGGACCTTGCATGCACATTGTAAGAAGAAATCGAGTCTCAACGTTCGATGTTTAATTAAAAATTTTTGAACACCATGCTAACCCTGTGTACTCAGGAATTTTTTTCTTCTCTTCCGAGAGATAAACACACAAACAAACCTTCAAGTTTCGAATTTCAGAAATCTTCAAATCTGTCAGTCACCAAATTTACTTGTAAAGTTGTGAACATGGAAATTCTTAAAATTTAGAAATATATAGAAGTTTCAAAGTCTTAGAATGATTTATATATCATCGGGAAATTATCTATCATAGTTGCTCGTATATTTCCTTGTCTAAACGGAAAATGGTAGAGATTTCGGAGCAGGGTAAATGAAGTCAGTAGGTAAAATCATTTACGGACCGCGAAACGTTGTCCCTGTCGGAACCCTCGTCGCTTCCCACAAGTATCGCCCTTTGCGGATTATTATTTATTATCATCGTTCTCTACACACGAGAGCTGGAGCTCTCCGATGTTGTTCTCCCGGCATCATTTGCGTCCTAGTGTTGGTGAAGGTTCCACACGTACGCGCGTAAGATCGTGCTGGTGCGGACGCGTGTCCATCCTGATCAGCCGTTCAGAGTCCCCGTAGGTTTGGTCACCGCGACCAAACGCATCATCAATCACGTTTTTTCGGGGTTGCTTTACTATTTATAGTTTGTCCGCAAAGCCGTCTATTATCTTCCTCCGGACGATAATTGTTTCCAAGCGGGCCCGTTTAAGCGCGAGCCGATCATTAGCTTTCACGATTGTGTCTTACTTAATCCTGCCTCTCCGTTCCAATTACCTGGTTGACAACGTTAACGCCTTTTTCTTTGCTTAATTACTTTCCTAACAAATGAAAGACTTAGTGGAAACATTAAGATAGCCATTTGTATCTCCTTCGGTCTATTCTTGATGAAAGTTTTACCGAGACAGTGATTTCTTCATCCATCTCTGCTGCAAGATGCGTTGCTTTGATTAATTGTTTAATATTTAATACGGTGGCAAGGTTATAGGGAAAGTTCTAAATATAAAGTAATCTGAAGATTTGAGGATCTATAGACTTAGGGATGTAGGACTATGAGAGTATGAGGATATGTGTAGATCTGGAGATGCAAAGATTTTGATTCTTCCTACAGAAGAATACAATAAAAGCAATTAAAGAACATAAAGTACAGAATCGTTAAATTCTACACAGAGTGTTACGACGACGGGCTAGTATGAAAGAAAAAGATTTCGATTGTCCGTGATGAGGTAAAATGGAAGGGCTCTCCCTCCGAAAGTGGTCGAGCCTACTTTCATAATTCTTCAGCTTTCTTCGGTCTTTCCTCCCGGCCCGGTTCCCCTCCTCGCAAATGCGCCGGGACGAAAGTGGGATTAATGAAAATACAGAAGGTGAACGGGGGCAGAAGAGACGTGCTAAATGCACGTGTATATAACGGGAAAGAGGAGAGAGGGTTCAACAGGGTTGATTAATCGTCGCCGGTCAGGCTTCTAGAAAGAGACGTCACTCGCAAGACTGCCTGCGTCTAGCTTCGCCGAGCTCTCTTTGTTTACCCGCTTCGAAATATCTATTTCAGTCTTTCCGGTTGCTCGATAAAAACGCTGAAAAACACTTGGAACTTCGAAAAATTTTCAAAAAACGAAGCTGGAGATGCACCGTATCCAACGGATGATCAATCGTGCCACTGCATTGTTAACCTTCGTCATTTTGTACGATTCTGTTTCAATTCAAGATTTTTCGTTTTATGATCGTTGAATAACGGAAGAGATTAATTTTCTACAGGACTAACTAAAAATTCGCTGGAAGAATTATGCATTTCGTTTATAAACTTGCTAAACACGAAAACAACGATTAAATCCTCGACCCCGATCTCGTCGACAATCGAAACGACCTATAAATAACTGAGCGATCTATCGTCGGCGACCAGCTCCCCATTAAAAAACACCTTCCCTTTTTAAGAAGCATCATTAAAACCCACTTATCAATTTCCCCGATTTTATCGCAGTATCTCGCGAGCCAGCTTCCATGCAGGGGGTTTGGTCGTCCCCGATAGGCTGCCGGGAGCACGCAGCCAGGGGGTTGCACACATGGCAGGCATTGTGCGAGGTCGGGTGCGAAGGGGAGCCAATATGGGTTTTGTGTGAATAGCGTGAATAGTGGGAGGGGATTGCGGCACAGATCGAAAATCGTCCGCGTGTGTCGGGGGTGGCCTTAACTCTGAATCAAAGGGCAGCTGATAGAAGCCGAGGAGCACCCCTGCGGTAGCCCGAGCCGAAACGGGAGGCGCTACACGAGAAACCCCATGGACGAGCCAAGGGTAAAAGTCCCCTCCACCTCCGCCGGGGTGCCTGTGTCCGCGTGGTACGGCAATAAACCCGGTGAAAGTTTGCCGGGGTGCCCTTTTTGGCACGCGTAGAACCCCCTGTGTACCGTGGACGGTCGAAAATCGTCACGGGGACAGAATTCGTTTCATTTCATTGTAAGTCCGCCTCGGTGCCTGGCGAGGACCTCTCTCCGTGTGCCGTCTCTCCGGAATACCGTGGCTCAGTGCTGTGCGAAGCTCCCGATCGTTTTCATCGAGTGAGGTTATAACCACGTGTCCGTTCGTGAGATGTGCTCTACTCGAAGTGACCGAACCGGTGTCGTCTGAGATCCATCGTGACCGATAAGCCTTGTGTCTCTGTGCCTTCGTACTCCGATCGCGATGGCCAGCTCCGCGTATTTCGCCAACAGCGACTCGGACTACTGGCCGTATCAGTCGATCGGCGATCGATCCGAACAGGTTATGTATCCCGATAGCGCCTATCAGCCGACGCATCAGCAGCTGCACTCCAGCTCGGATTACGCTCAGAGACCGAGCCAAGAGCTCTCGCCCCCTTCCAGCCTCCTGGAGACTCTTCTGCGTCATGGGAAAGAGGCCATCGCGGAGGGTTATGCTAACTCGACCGGGAAACCGGTGACGTCACCGACCGGACAGAGTATTCCTTACGTTTCCTGTCAAACTCCGCCGTACACGCCGACTTCTTCGACGGACAGGACGTCGCCGATCGCACCGTACCTCCCGGACGCTCAGGATCGTCTTCAGCAACCGGAAAACAGCAACGGATACTTGCAGAGCTATCAGTACCCCGCGCAACCACATTCTAGCAATTGCGCGGCCCCGTCGGTGGTGACACCAAGGTCTCCCCCCGATTATGGAGTGCAGCAAGGCTATGGCGCTTATGCGAATAACAATAATGATGGGAAGCGGAGTCCTAACGAGATCGAGTACAAGGACGACCAGACGCAGAGGCAGGTGGACTATCCTTGGATGAAGTCTTCGTACGCCAACGGTAAAATTGTGATCTTGGTTTTCATTGAAATATAGCGTGGTCGTATATCTAGTTAATTTAACTTTTGGTTCATTCAGTTGCGCCAGTTAGATAATTATTAATACAATATTAAGAGGGACGGAAAGTTGAAATGTACATATGATTTAATAAGTCGATAAATTATTGATTAAAATTTTTATCTCATTGGAATGACTAAGCTAATGAACAACTCAGAAGTACAGTAATTATTAAAAACAACGCGCAAAGTTCATTTGAATTGCAGTCCAATTGCAAGATTTATTAACAAATTTTTATTAAGAAAGAACTTAGTTTTCAAAAACCTTAATTTTATTCGAACTTGTGTTGAGAATATTCCAACTAATGCCTCAACTCCACTTCGATACCGTATCGAATCAATTTCACTCCCCAAGCTCAGAAACGTAACCTAACCTCAAAATCTCGTTCACTTTTCAATTCTCCGGTTGCAGGGGATACAAACGGCGCAGGACAAAAGCGAACACGACAGACGTACACGCGCTTCCAGACTCTCGAATTGGAAAAAGAATTCCACTTCAATCGTTACCTCACCAGAAGGCGTCGCATAGAAATAGCGCAGGCTCTGTGCTTAACCGAGCGCCAGATCAAAATTTGGTTTCAAAATCGTCGCATGAAGGCGAAGAAGGATGGCAAACTCAGTTACAATGGGGTGGAAACGAACATGGAGGACATCGCGTCTACCAGTCAAAATGGGTCACCCATCGAAGGTCTTCTAACGGGAACAACGACGTCAACGACGACCATGATGCATGCTGCGCAACCTACCACGTCCGTTCAGCACGCTTCCGCAATGTCGGAGCAGCATCTTCACGAAGCTTACCTTCAATATCGTCACCAGCAGCACAGCATGTACGACGGACACAGTTACTTTCATAAACAAGCGTACGGAAGTCAGATACATAAAATGACTGATCATCATATCGAATCTTGAACATTTTTATCTGCTTTGTAAATAAGACTGGTTAGGTTAGGGGAAGACTGGTTAGTGTAGTTTCGAAGGTTAACCTTGAACGAAGATGAGAATATTATGCAATAGACTGCGTTCTATTAACGTCGGGGGGCTGCAGTAAATACTTTTGCAAGATTCTGAGTTGAAGTGACACGTGACTTTATCTTATTAGTAGTTTTTGTACATTAATTGCAAGTAGGAAATTTACTGTGTATTTTGCAAGCCAATGAAGCTCCCGATGGTCAAAGTGTTAAGTTATTACCTAAGTTATAGATACTCGAACAAGTTAGCTAATTTATGAACAGTGTATTCAATCGTGCCATGCAAACGGTTAAACTAGTCAGTGGTGCCTCATGAACTACCCATTAGGGAAGCATAACCTACAATCGGCGATTCAATCCTCGAGCATCGAATCGATAAGGAACAACCGTAAGAAAGGAAATTACAAGTATAGCACGACAAAGTTCGACCTTTACGGTGGATCGTGAGCAGGGAATGCCGTTCGGGACAAGATCGGGCCAGCTGACCCTGCAACCACTATGATTTATGGCCAAACGAGCTAAACAGCCGAGCATCCTGCGGCTCAGGTATCCCGAAAGCGCGGTCGTTCACGCCGTATTTCGCTCGCCACGGTCCGCTCCGATCGGTTCGCGTTGCAACACGCTTGCTCACTTTTTCTCGCTTCGAGTACGTTTTGAAAATATTTTGACTCGCCCGCTGAAAATTCATACTCGGCTGATTAATGACGATGACTCGGCGACTCTTCCGCTTTTGGGGAAAGTTCGGCGCGGGGCGACTGAAGATGGGCTTCGGTGCCGCTTTGATCGCGATGCGAATCGATACGGAAATGTACTTGGCTGATATACCCCGTGCAACTTTCGTTGTTCTTAAAATACTTATGGATACTTAAGGATATTTAGGATGTAATATTTTACGTTTTAATCACGAGGGTTTATTTATTTTAACCGCTTCTAAGAAAGTAGTGATTAAACGAAAAGGTTCTGAAAGCACTAGGATAGTTCAGTTAAAAAGTGCTGAATATGTTAGATTTCACAAGAGGAACTAGGTGCAGAAAGATAATTTTAGAATGACTTTAAACCCCCAATGGAAGAAGCAAATGTATCCTTTCAAAGATACAAGTATCCTTGAAAGCATCTCCAAGATTTGCACTTGAAGATGTGTATAAGATTATGATTCAAAGTGAGGTGGAAGGAAATGTTTATAATTGAGTGGACATTTAGCAATACCGATGCGAGTTGTGGAATAGGGCGACAACGGGGAGTCGAAAAGTTAAGGGATGAAGAAGAGTGGGGGGGCGCTCAGCAGCTGCGCCGTTCACACGCAACAAGATGGCTGCAAACGTTCCTCGTGCGTGCAACGCCGGTCTTGTTCATTCTTTTTTCTCCCTGTTCGCGGTTTAATTTGCAATCGTAATTGTTTTCTGGAATTGTAGAATTTGTGTCGCCCGCGAAATTCAAACTCGAGTTGCTCCGAGAAGTGTTACTTGAATTTGATGTAGATCGAACGAGATCGAGGATCTGCAAATTCGTGTTCGATTTATTTGAACCGTGATGGTAATTATATGTAAGGTAACTTTTTTTAATTATAACGTTTGAACTTCTGTTGCAATAATGTAGCGACTGATCTTTGCATATTATGCATTACCTCTGAATGTTCCTATTAGATAGTAAAACGATGTACATAAATACCTAGGTATATTATAGTAGCGTCTTGAAAGTGATAAAAAATGTTTAAATAAAAATGAAACGAGCTCTTGTACAGACAAGAGTAGATATTCTTAAGTACAATCGTAGAATTACAAAGCTTATTGTTAGTAATATAAATCTATTTATTACGGAATTAATGTTACAGCGAATATTTTTTTAAATTGTACTTCAAGAGGGATACTAGTCGATTTAGTATAAGTTGCACGAGATAATCTTATAAACTATATACTTGGCGGATAATAAATTATTCCAAAAAGGCCACTGTTTCTTCGTCAATATTATTAACATCGATAGAAGCTTGCTTTTATTTAAAATTATAATTCCTATACTATGATAATGAAGTCATTACATATTTAATATTTCATACAACTTATTTGATGATATTTGAAGACATTTATTTATTCAACTTTTTACTTTTATTTAAAGACACAATTTCTTTAATGGTCAATCTGTTATATATTTTATTTTCAATATTTTACACAGCTACTTGCTGATATTTACAGATATTTATTTCATTTATTTTTCAGCCTAATATTTTTGTTAGTATCTTTGTATACGTATATTCAGTAAGTTTAACTCTCGATTCACCAGATATTCCGCACTTAATGGTTAATTTAATCCTTCTTCAAATTTTTAAGATTACAATCAACCCTTCAAATTTGTAAATTGTGCCTCAACGTATATGGACGTAATTACTTGAAGATTCATTAATTTTAAGCATCGCAACGCACTCACAAATTGGATAAAACAATCTCAGAAAAGCCTCTATATTAAGAATAACCCGAAAAGGAGTTGAAGGCACGAGTACCTCCAAGGATACATAATCGTTTGTTTTCGCGCCTGTAGAAAGTGAAATTAATTCGGACCGCCAGCGAAGGTTCCCGCCAAATTACTCGGTAAAAACAATCCGACGCTCTTAAATCGTGAATCGTGTACTCGTTATCTGCCGATCGAAAGCCATCAATGGCAATAAAGCACTTTAACGAGAATTCGTCATTATCGAACCGGTCACCTAGGTGGCCGACACGGCTTTAAACTGGTACTTATTTCTTTTTTTTACGTAAAGAGCAGAATCTATGGAGGAGATGTGCCATTTGCGAAATGGTCACGAACCGCTCGACCAGAAGTGGGGAAGGGAAAAAGGAGGGAGAAAGGTTTGTATGGCAGCGTTGGGTGAAGCTACGTTGCAGAGCACAACCCTGAGACGAACAGCAGCGGCGAGAGTGAACCTTCGGTACCCAGGGGTTGGACGAAGAGGGCGAGGGTCGATATTGTGCTTGACAGATAGTTTCCCATAGCTCCGGCAATCCATCATGGCCGGCACACGGATACGTATTGGATTTTCTGCAACGCGTCTTAGCTGTGAACCTCGAATTGAATATATTCTTTTTTTTCTCTCTAGCCTGTCCGGGTAACCCGCGCGGAATTTATCAGCTCTCCAGAACGCGCCTCCTTCGCTCCAAAGAGTTTATAAACTTTTTTTCCAAGTGTCTGCGGTATGTTAATCTTTTTCTCTGTATTCTTTTCGACCTGAACCAATTTTAATGTTACAGAAATAAATACTAGGTGACTAAATTAACAGGTGTTGTAATTTTCTCTTACAGAAGCGTTAAGTTTAAACTCCACTTCAACTGAATAATAATTTTCTACAATATTTGTGTTTTCTTTAAATTTGGATTTCGACAGGAAATGTATTTTATGTTTGATTACTTGATGTATAACAATATAATTGTGATTGTATCTGTATGTATTTTCAAAGAAGAACTCTTTTATAATTAGAATAAGTTGTGAGCACCACGACAAGGTCAAGTATATTCCAGACAGTACAAGAAATGTCAACCTACGATCCCATCAACAGCAAAAAGAATAGCATCATAGCTCGGCAACCCTTATTTATGCAAACGCCCAGAACCGTCCACGCAGAAGTTAATATATGGGTATCCTGACGGGCTCGCTATTACAAGATCTGCATGAAAGCACTGTCTGTTAAACTTCCTCGCTCAAATCATTGTACCATTGATCTTTAGGATAATACAGTTACTAATGCATTTCAATTCAAAAATTTTTAAATTTCAAATTTCTGCATCTTTCTATAAGCTACGAGCGCAATAATGCTCGCTTCACGAGCCGTATAAAGCTACAATAAGAAAAATCTACGTGTACCGCATAAACAATCAGATAAGTAACTCGCAGCATTCACCCTAATACTCTATCAGCACATTTATAAGTGGCTATAAGTCGAATCACTACGATTAGCAACTTGAAATCGTTTTTCCTTCTTTGTACGGTTATTATGCTAAATTGAATCATCAGCTCCAATCACCGATGACTCCAATCGACTGAAATTTCGCATTAAGTAATGAGACACAATTAAAAACGTTATCGCGAAAGAAGCTTCCTGAACTTCGTAGCAATTATACATTAGCGCATACAGCACTGTCATCAATTTTACTGATCACTTAATATTTCCGTCTAGAAGCGATTATTATTCAAATAGTGGTCTCGGCGAGGCACTTAGGGAATCCTCGATCTACGAACGCAAATGCTCCCCACGATAATTCGCGACCACTTAAGGCCCGCTATCACCGGCAATAATTACTTCCCCGGACTCGTTCCGCTTCGTTGACCCGCTAGATTACGAAGTATCGATGCATCCTGGACGAGGGAGCCGAAGAGGATGACGCGCAAAGCGTCCTCCGCGTGGCGTCGCCGAGAGAAGGGCATAACAGATACACGTGTCCTGGCGGCTCTGCTTTGCGACACGTGATTCATGGGGGTCCCGATACGTTTTTTACACCTGCGACGGCTTTATTAGAAATTCTAATGGGACGAGCCGACGGGAACAGAGAGGGAGAGACGGGCAAACAGTGAACGCGTCGGAGAGAGAAAGAGAAAAGAACAGCAAAGAGTGACACGCGGCCGCGAGGCAATGCGACTCGAATCGGACCGAAATGCTCCGACCGTGGCCGAGTTCTTCCACTGGATCCCTTCGAAACCCAAAGGCTTTCATTACGTCAGTCTGAAATACATCGACATCCTGACGTGATGACTTCGTTATCCGAAACCCGTCCTCGGACGCTGAATCGTGACCACTATTCTTCCAGGAATGAACGCGGGTTTTGACGGAAAGCGAACTTTTTGAAATCGACATGGTCCCTCTGTTTGAATATCGCGCTCTTTGAGCTAATTGGGAACGCGGGAAATTTGAAATTGCGAACAGGTAGCTTTTACGCTAAAGGGATTTTGAATTTGTTGAAATTGTAGCCTTGTCTAAATGTCGAGGTTAAATCTATTAACAAGGTATTGAGCTTTGTAAGACTTGAATACTTTTATAATAGTCTTGTTACGTTTAGAGTGTTTGAATATCGCGCCTTAAAATCTAGAGCGCGGGAAATACCCAACCCAAGGGAACGTTACAAGTTGAGAAGTTTACGTAAAAACAATTTACAATCTTTTACTATAATTTGAAAAGGTAAATCCTATCTTACATAATCGTTAACAAATTATTTATGTGTATTTAAATAACTCTGTATAACAAGTCTAGAAGTAGGAACCTGTACAATATAACTACTTATCGATCGAATATCTACATAAAGAGATTAAAATCGCATAGAGAGAAGAATCAAATATTTTGTACTAACTATAGCAATTGTCATAAATAAAAGAAGAATTTTCTTCCAGTGTATACCAACTGAAAAGCACGTTCCCCGAATCTGAACAATACCAATCCAGCCAAAGATCCCTCGAAATCACCCTCGAAAGAGTATCTGCTTTGATAGCATCCCTCAAGTCGGGTCCCCTCGAACTCGCGTGCAAGAACAAAGCGACGTGTCTCCGACGCGATGACGAATCCGCAAACGGTCCGGCGATCATCGCGTTTCCAGCAACTCGACGGTGTTTTGCGGCCAGGATGAACCCGTGTCTGATCCCGCGATCACTTGTCAACCTTTCTCCCTCTCGGCGTTTCGAGTTGGCGCGCGCGCGCTCCTCCAGAGCACGCCGTCGCGGCGCGAAAAGCGAGGCCTAGGAAGGATGGTAGGTGTAGGACAAATACCGGGCTCCGAAGTGGCGAATACCGAAGAGGTGGTGGGGATTCCCGCGTACACGTACACAACCGCGAGAGAACTTAAAGTGGAAGAGATAGCCAGTTCGGTTCGCGATGGTGGGGCGAGTTGCCCCGGCGGTGGGAGTCCGCGGAGGAAGGGGTGGGGCGACCGGGGGCGGGCGCGCGCGACAATTCAACAGGAACGACCGCACTTGCCACATCTGGTGAGCGAGCGGCACACTACTCGCTTTACGCTCGATTTTCTCCTCTTCGATCTCCGATCGGACGACTCGTTTCTTTTTTCCAAAATTTACATAAGGCGAGACCGTGCACCTGAACGAGGACCTTGGGAAGCTACACTTTTAACGGAGGTGTAAGTAATAGGTGAAGGGAAACCCGATGGGAAAATAGTAATTAGAAGGAATACGAGCAATACGATCTGCTCGAAATAAGCGTAGGCTCACTGCTTATTTGGAATTTTTTCCAAAAGAAAATTCCCTGTCTGCCGTGATTGTGTGCTTGCAGTACCACGATTTGAATTTAAAAATTCGAACACGAGGAATAATTGCAGGAAGTCATTTGAGGAAAACATGGTCATTTGGTCAAAAGTCCGATACCGTGGTACAATGAGCAGGAATACCGTGATATTTGAGTATGGAGACATAATAAGGTACTATCCCTTCGACCCTTATAATATACCGGTAGTTGCATAGGTGCAACCTTTGAAATGCTCCCAACAATTGATTAATCTGGTTCGAAGCTGGTTCTTCGTCGGCAATAAATTTCTACTCCAAATGGTCGTCGAGTACACGGTCAGAATATATGTTTAGGACTGACAAGTTTAGAATGATTTCGAATAGTGTCGAAATGAATGAAAACGTAATTCTGTCCGCGGAGACACGAAGCTCTGATAAATTTATTTGGTGATCAAATCAGTGGCATTAAAATAACAGTGTCCACGCTTATTTAAAACAGACTGTACGCAAGGAAACAGGTCGAAGTATAGCGAGCGTCATCCGCGAGAAGCAAAGAGAGCTCCGCCTCCTCGGCCGTCCCCTACGCTCCGGAACCCCACCGGCACGTCGCCACCCCGCGGTGCCCCCCGTTTGACCAACTGGCTACTACGTCACACATGCTTCTGCTCGCTCGTAGCCACCAACTCCGAAGGCTCTCCTCTCGACCGGCTCAGTCGGTTCAGTGAGTTACGAGTTGCGTCCGGGTTCGCCGTACGTACGATAACGGGGGCGTCAATCGGATCGCGCGATTGGGAGAGGATTCCTAACCTCGTGCACGTTTTCCTCTTTCTCTCTCTCTCTCTCATCCCGATTCTCTCGATGTTCCATCCTCGTCCTTCCCTTTCTTCGTCCCTGTCGCTCCTTCTTCCGGTCCGTCCCTCTCATTCGGCTATGGGCAACAGGTTTGAATTTATGGGACAATAAAGAGTGCGGTGCGTAGTGCGCGCGTGTTACCGTCTCGCTCGCTCCCGTGCTGTTCGCTCTCTGTTCGAGCAGCCTCTCTCCCACGGACACGTTCCGGATTCTCTCGCGCCGTCAACGGAGAACGCCGGAGACTATCAAACTCTCATAAAACTGTCAACCGCGGCCGGGCCGGCTGACTTATGCGCGCCCCTTCTTCCGATTCCCGACTCGTCCGCATCTCGTCCGTTTCGCGCGCTCCGAGACGCGCGATGCGTCCAGCGGTGGACCGATAGTAGTGCTTCGTTGTTCAGAGAAGTTGCGCCACCGACCGGAGGAGCACCGATCCGTCGAAGGTGTTGCCGAAGACATAATCACACGGGTACCGTTGCGAATCGACCGAGACAAGTTCGAACGGACGATCGAACGATCGGCGATCTCGCGGGGAACCACCTCTTCTTCCTCGTTTCCACGCCACGAGGGTGTACGCGGAAGGGGGCGCGTGCGCGCGTAGCCCCCTCGCGGAGACGGCAAGCGGAAGACTACTTCTTGGTGACGTTGCGGCCAGAAGGTTGCAGAGGAGAGAAGGAGAGAGAAGCAGAGCGATCCTCGCCCCACCATCGGTGCTCGGGGCTCCCGAATATCTCTCCATTAGCCCCCCTGACGGTGCTATCCCCTCCCTGTGACCCCTCGTATTTCCCGTCTTGCTCGCACACCCCTCTTGTCACGTCGGATAGCAGCCAGGCAACACCACCACACTCGCAAACGGCGGCAGCAGCGCCAACAGCAGCAGCAGCAGCAGCAGCAGCACCATCACAGACCCGACGGAGACGCAAGGAACGGGGTTGAAGAATCCTACGCCGGCGGAGAGACCAATCAAGGTTTGACGAACGACGGGGATTGGTCGAGGCGCTCCTCTGACACGCAGAGAGCGCGGGCACGTGACAAGCTACCGCACACACCGGGCCTCCGTTGGATCGTGGCGAGGCCTTCAGTACGATACCAACCACCCTCCGCGCACGCAACAGGAACGGTGAACGGCGAGCCGCGGCGATACGCTTCACCCCCTAATGCGGTGATATCGGTACACCGGGATACCGACAACCAACGACGGTTACTTCGTTCCTTGGAACATTATTCCGCGTCGGGACGCGCTTCCGTGGTCCAACTCCGTCGTGGGCCGTTCGTCTTTCGCGAAACTTGCGTCACGGATTTCACGGTATATAAACATCGGTGATTCGTGCAAATAAATCATCGCGCGAGAGAGAGAGGGAGAGGGTGGAAAAAAAGCAAAAAAAAAGAAGAAGTGTGTACAGGGTCTCGTCTTCAATGGGGCGACCCGATAAGCCGGCTGTTACGCGCTACTGCACGCTGCCTCCACGAGTTCTCTGTAGGTAATTGCGACTCGTGAGATCGTAAAGAAGCAGAAGACAGTTTTATAGCCCAGGCCCACGTGGCCCTCGTAAACTCGACTCGGCTCAGGTCGGTTCAGACTCTGCCCGCCTGCCGGCACACGGCCCGTCTGCCTCTCCGTCTATTCGTCGCGATCCCCCTCGTTCATTATCGAGTCGTTTAGGGACGTGTTTATCCGCGTGTAACGACGATAGGTGTGAACTGACTGCTGGTCCAACGGAACAGCTAAACGGTGAGCTTGTTTTCTCCTGCCGGTCAGTGATAATAAAACCCGTAGAGAGCTGCCGGTGCGTCGGATACCACCGGGGTGTCATCATCGTCGTCGTCGTGAAAGCAACGTCGCGATGACACGGTCCTGTACTTAACGACAGTGC